ATTTCTTCTATCGATTTTATTTACTTGACAAGTATCACAAGTTTTAATATAATCTTTTACGTCTGAAGTCAGATTTTTCCATTTATATTTTAATTTGATTCTCCTAATTGTTTCATCCATGCCTTTATGTGCAGCAAATCTCGAGTCATGATAGTAAGATATTATCTTTTGTCTTTGACTTTCAGGTGGTATTATTATTTGATCCGTTAATTCACAAATCACAAATTTATAATTATTTTCGTGGAAAACATATGATAATACTTGTTTTGCGATTTCTCGATCATATTCGCGATCGTGCGATGTTGTTTCGGGAATATATATAAACAATGTTGTATCCGTAACATTTTTATCAATCAATGCTATTTTTAATTCAATTAATGTTTTATAGAAACTCTCTAGCATTTCCGAATCTGAGTTTGTGTTTCTATCGAAACATAAGTAATATATTCTATTTATTGTATATGGATCTGGAACAACTTTAATTGTTTTTAATTTTCCTTTTAAATTTTTTATTTCTGTCGGAAAATATGTTATTAGTTTTTCATAAATTTCATTATTTGCCGTTACTTGACAAGGTAAAAACAAGATCATATTTTGATGTTTATTATCAAATATAGAATTGGTTGATTCAATTATATCAATAGGATTTATTGATCCTTCTAATAATTGTTTCCTAAAATGTGACATTTCGTCATTTATATTGTTCTGTAAATAGTTAACAAAAGGTCTTGATAATGCGTCCGCATTTTGATTTTTCTTTCCTGGTTTATATGATATTTTATAGTCGTATTCTTCAAGTTCCAATCTCCATCGGACGAGACGTGATCCAGGATCTTTTACTGAAAATAGCCATGTAAGTGGTTGATGATCAGTGACGATGGTGAATTTTCTTCCAAACAAATATGGTCTATAATGTTTAATTGACCATTTTATAGCCAATAATTCTTTTTCTATAGTAGAATATTTCTGTTCCGTCTCGTTAAGCGTACGAGAGGCGTAAGCAACCGGCTTATCTTCTCCTACTTTTCCTTGTGAAAGGATTCCACCTATCGCGACGTTTGAAGCATCCGTAGTTACTATAAATTCCTTTTCAAAATCAGGATATTGTAATATAGGTGCCGTTGTTAATAATTCTTTACAAATTTCCATTGCTTTTGTGCATTCCTCCGTCCAAATGAATTTAATATTTTTCTTTAATAATTTTGTTAGAGGTTTCGTGATATCCGCAAAATTTGGAATAAACCGACGATAATAACCTACTAATCCAAGAAAAGCCTTAATTGTTTTAGTATTTTTAGGTTGTGGAAATAGTTTTACAGCTTTTATTTTATCTGGGTTTGGCAGTATACCCTTATCCGTTATTATATGGCCTAAATAAGCGACTTCTTTTCTAAGAAACTCGCATTTGTCTGGTTGAAGCTTTAAGTTATACTCCCGTAATCTATTCAGTATATTTTTTAACTTTAGCTCATGTTCTTCTAACGATGAAGCATGGATAATTAAATCGTCTAAGTAGACCAGACAATGGTCCTCTGTAAGGCCCGTTAATACGTTATCCATCACTCTTTGGAACGTAGCGGGTGCATTTTTTAGTCCAAATGGCATCCGCGTATATTCAAAGTGTCCTTCTTCTGTGGAAAAGGCTGTTTTTTCAATATCTTGATGGTGCATTTCAATTTGATGGAAACCACTTGCTAAATCAAGAGTTGAAAAGTATTTACTTTTACCTAATTTATCTAATATGTCCACAATATTAGGTATTGGATATTTATCCGCTTTGGTAACTTCATTCAATTTCCTATAATCTATAACCATTCGCCATTTAGTCTTACCGCTTGCGTCCACCTTCTTAGGCACTATCCAAATAGGTGAATTATAAGGGCTATGGCTAGGTCTTATTACTCTTTGTGCTAAGAGGTTTTTCGTTTGTGTTTTCACTTCCTCTTTATGAATTTGTGGATATCTGTAATTTTTCGTGTAAACTGGCGGAGAGTCCCCAGTGTCAATACGATGTTTCACTGCGTTACTAAAAGTAAAACGATCTCCTTCCAGGTGAAACACGTCATTAAATTCTTTGCAAATTTTTAAGATACTTTTTCTTTCTTCATTGTTCATATGCTCAGTTCTTAGAAGGCTCGATATTTTTTCACGCCGTTCGAACGAGTTATTTAATATTGAATTTATTTGAATTTCATTTAAATTAATACGATTTGCGTTAAGAACAGGAATATCCATTTCCGTGTTCCGACAAACGGTATTTATACACGACACATATGCGATGTGATTTTTAACATTTATAAGTGCGTTTGGTAAAATAATTTTATCATTTATTTTGCTTGATTCCAGTAAGCATTCGCCTTCAGCGACATTTTTTATATGGATCGGTATTATTTGTTCAGTTCGACCCGATAATATGATCCGTTTTCCCGAATAATTTTCTTTATTTTCTATTTGATTTTCAGTAGGCTTTAATAATTGAACTTCATTATTTTCTGTATTGATTTTGGCTTTAAATCGTTTTAGAAAATCTAACCCTAAGATTCCGTCATAAGGAGTTTGAAGGTCTATAACATAAAATTTGTGTTTATATTTTCCTGAAGGTATAGGTAACTCTATATATTCGGAACAAGTAAATTTTTCGTTTCCTATTCCTTTTATACTAATGTTTTCTTTATGAAGTTTTATATTTGTTAAGGAATTTGAAATAGTTGAATTTATTGTAGAGATTGCAGCGCCTGTGTCAATCAATAATTTTATTTCTATTTGATCAATTTTATATCTAATAAAAAGCAACTTATTACGCTTTGGTAAAATTACGTTATTTATGAGTACTCGAGCAGGTTCAACAGGGCTTCCGCTTCGTCGCCGGAAGTCGTCTGCTCGGCCTCGACTTCCGTCACATCGTTTTAAATTATTTACGCGACGTCTATTATCAAAATTTTCGCGTGATGTTGATGCAACAGGTGCATTCTTTTTTCTACAATATTCTTGTGTATGGCCAGGAATTTTACAAAAACTACAAAAACGATTATTACGGTTGAAGTTGTTGCGATTGTTATTTATTCCGCTGGTGGAAGGCTGAGAAAGCCTCGGTTTAGAGCTTTGAGTTTCATTTTTATTTACCTTTAGCTCAGAAAATTTATTTAAAACATTATTATAGTAATTCAATGAACGTTCTTCCTCAAGAGCTAAGTTAAATGCTTCTTCGGTGCTCCTGGGTTTCTCTAATCTAATTTTATTATAATAATTAGGTTCTAAACCTACAAGGAAATTATTCAAAAGAATTTTGTCATATTCGCTTTTCAAAACTCCATATCTATCATTCAATATAATTTCATTTGATAGCAATTCATCTCTAATTTCGTTGAATGAATCAACGTAACGACTCATAGATCCCTTTTGTCTAGTATATTGAGACGCTAATAATAATTCGCTAATGTTGCGTTTTTTTTTAAAGTGTTGACTTAGTTCATCTAAGAAATGTGTTAAATTGTCGAAAGATCGACTATTAGCAAAAGCCGCCGCTTTTCCCTCTAGCTGGGCTATAGCGTGTGGTAATAATATTTGCGCTTGAACTGGACTGGCAAGTTTTTGCGCAGTTTTACAGTTCGAAATAAAACAATTTAAATTTTTAGTGTTTTCACTAAATTTTGGTATTATATTTAATAATTGACCCGTTGCAATTAGGGGTTCAACTTTAATTTCAATTTTATCGTCTTTTCCCGTTGCCATTTTTCCCGATCTTAATTCAATTTTAATAAGAATATAAGGATCGCGAACAAAACACAAAATATATAAAAATGGGAAGACAAGGAAGGTTATACCCAATCAGTTAACGGAATGAAATATGTGAGGACTTACATTAGCAGGACCACAGCTTTCATTTTTTCCGCTCCCTTGGTTGTATGCAGCAACTTTACGGGTACGCTGATGGGGCTGGCTTCTTCTCGCGATGAGCCTGAAGTCACTTCCTAGCTATCCTACCGACTGCGCCACTGTTACAATTTAGACGACGGGAAGACTTTTTAAAAATGTATTTATTATAATAAACCTAGCTACATCTTTCGTAGTTGGTGGTTGAGTAAGAACTAACTAATAATTTTACAGCGTCCTATTTATATTCAGTACAATCAGGCATATGGTGACGTCGTGGGAGCACAAGGGCATATGGTGACGTCGCGGGAGCACAAAGGGCGTCTGTTGTAAATATTAGTAAAAGAGTAATTAAGATAGTTTACCTCGAAATGGGTTTAAGAACAGATGGCCCTTTTTAAAATATGTAATCATAATATTATTGTTTCCCATAGGAAAACAGATGCCTGTTTGTTAACAAATTGATAAGTGAACTTAGTATGTCAAAAGGTTACTAAATGATAATAACAACAATGGGAATATTGATAGTTAATAGTTATGAAACTATCCTAGGAATTATTAAAAAACAATGACAATAAAATTGTTTGTCCATTAGCCACTAATACTGATTACAATGTCTTCGAGATATTAAAAAAGATCTCTAGTATAAATATCATGACTCGTATCTTACTTAGTATATATAATTAGGTTCTGTAAAAATCTCAAATCGCACTCTCAGAAACAGAAAGGTTTTATCACTACACTAGAGTTGCAAAACTTAACGCGTTAATAATTTAACATGAGCAATCACTATATTACTCTGAGGAAATTAAAGCCTTGCAGTCACATAAAAATGTAACAGGCAGCTTAGCGCCTCTTACAGCTTTTCTAGATAGTCATGGCATCATTAGAGTCGGTGGTCAAAGCTAAAGGTCGCTGTATACGGGACGTGTTTTTACCCGGACGGGACGGGACGGGAAGTTTTGTAAATATCGTTACATAGAACATGTATAGGATAATCTATACGTCACGGATGCACGTACGGGACGGGAGCGTGGCATCAACGGGACAGGAAAAATATCGTCGGCGACGATGTTTAGCACGTCCCGTCCCGCGCGTGCCCCGTCCCGTCCGTGATTCCGTTGCGTATGCACAGTCATCCCGGTCGCTCCGGAGAGCTAAGTAGTGACGTACGTACTACTGCAATGGACGACGAAAAATTAATAAAATGCGTACGAGCATATCCCGTTTTATATAATGTTGGACACGCAAAGTATTTAGATACCAAATATAAAAATTATCTGTGGCGTAAAATTGCTGTATCACTATCACTCACTGAAAACGGTAAGTTTTATTTTAAATCATTTTATGCTCAATAGACAAGTAGCTAAATAAAATAGAGTCACATGTTTTATGAAGTCTTTATTTATTAAAACGATTTTGGACTGCTTAGCAAAAGTAAACACTGTTACAGAATAATAACGTGATTTGGTATAGCCCGATGCAAACTTTATGGCGGCTGGGAATGTCACGTGACCGCACGTGCGCGCAGGTACAGTCAAAGGAGTGGGCGACTACGGGTGAAAGAGGGGTCGCGCGGGGATATGCCCCGCCGCTGCATCCCTCTATATACCGCTGAATGATACCTTATGCGTTCTGCGCAGCGGTTAGTACGATGTTCCGAATCGCCATTAAGTTTGATTCGTAATATACAAATATTACAATTTATAACACAATAATATTAACCCTAATGTTGTGACACTTCACAACACATAACCTTAAACCTAGTTTAATCATTGAGCTATACGTAGGTACTAGAGGAGACATTACAAGCATTGTTGTGAATCACTTTTTATAATAAGCATTTTATTCATTAGGCATATTAAAAACACCAACAGAAGAATTGAAAAATACTTTGAATTTTTCTCGTTCAACAAATGCTTGACGAGAAGCACTGCTGCCTTGAGAACGTAAATTGTTAAGGTTCGAATTCTGTGAACCTTCTATGTTACTTTGATTAACCTCATTTTCACTATTTTTTCTTATAAAGTTGTGTAGTATGCATGTTGTTAGTATTATATTATCAACAGAGTTTGGATTCATTTTTATTCTTCCTTGGTAAATTCGGAATTTTTGAGTAAGAATACCAAAAGCGTTTTCTACGCAGCGACGAGCAAGACCTAAGCGATAATTGAAGACTTCAAATTCGCGGTTTCCGCTGTTATATGGATACGGACGCAACAAATACGTTTTTAGTGGAAAGGCGGAGTCACCTATGATGACATACGGGGTAATAATGGTTGTACCGGGTAAAGCCCTGTTTTGAGGTACGTTTAGAGTACCATTCTCTAAACGACGCCCTAGTGAAGAAGTTGCAAAAATTCCTGCATCATGAGTTTTTCCTTGAGCTCCAACATTTACGTAAATAAAATTACATTTTGCATCTACTAGAGCCAATAAAACAATGGAAAATGTCGATTTATAATTAAAAAATAACGATCCACTGTTGGGTGGTGCTTCGATCACTACATGTTTACCGTCTAGTGCTCCTAAGCAATTAGGAAATTTCCACAGTAACCAGAAGTCTTCAGCGACAGCTTTCCACGTTTCTGTAGTCATCTCGGGTAATGTCTCGCTCATTAATTGGTCAACTATAATTTTGCAAGTCTCTTTGACAATTTTATTAACTGTGCTATGACCTAAACGATAGCTGAATGAAATTGTCAAATGTGAGTCACCAGTGACCAAATATCTGAAAAAAAAAAACATTGTCAGCTGTAAAGTACCTTCAAAACTTAAACTTAAAACTTCTTCAAAATATTAACTAAAAAGAAACATAATATATAAAAGGTCGGTGTCAGTCATGTGCCATGTGTGAATTTAATTTGAACCATTTTCATTTTAGTTAATATTTTGAATTCGATTTGTTTTTAAATTATAATTTTACTTCGTACTTCTTACTTCTGCGTAAAATAATCGTTCAGGTACCTCTACAAACTTCCCCCTATATATACTATATATTGGGTTGGCACAAAAGTAATGAGACACACTAGAAAAATCTATAACATTTCCTTTTTAAAATCATTTTTTTCGATAATATTCTAGAATGTTGTAGAACATTCTAGGTACTTCTGGTGTAGGGTATATAAAGCCGCGCTCGCGATTTGTTTAGTCAGTTTGAAGAAAAATGGACGAGCGACAAGTTCGAACACTATACTTATACGAGTACTTGTTAGGCCACAGTGCGCGGGCTGCGGCTGACAATATCAACAATGCATTAGGCGCTGGAAGTACAAGCCATGCGATGGTGTCCCGATGGTTTGACCGTTTTAAATCAGGAGACAGGAGCCTTGAAAGTCAGCCACGCTCAGGGCGACCACCCGCAGTGAATAATGACGATTTGCGCCGCGAACTGCAGTTGAATCCGGATGCTACCACTCGTGAATTAGCGGAAGCACTTAAATGCAGTCACCACGCCGTGGAACACCATCTGCATGAGCTTGGTTATCGAAAAGTTTTGGCTCGGTGGGTACCGCACATCCTTACAGACGCCAGTCGTGCAGTCCGTGTCGCTATCTGTCAGTCACTTTTGCTGCGACCCCGACGTAAAGAGTTTTTGTCAGATCTGGTTACTGGAGATGAATCATGGATTTATTTCGAGAACGATACACGTCGTGCTTTTTGGCTGCCTCGAGAAGAAACGCCACCAACTCAACCGAAGCCGAGTCAAAAGAACCGCCGAAAAATTCTGCTTTGCTGTTTCTGGGATGCGCAAGGCATACTGTTTTATGAGCTATTACACAATGAAACTTTAAACGCTGACAAATATTCAACCCAGCTTACCAAATTATCTGCCGCTATAGAAAAAACGACGAAGACGAGTCAATGTAGTTTTACTGCACGGTAACGCTCGACCTCACGTCGCATCTGTGGTTCGCCGGCAGTTGGAGAACTTGGGCTGGGAGACGATACCCCACCCACCTTATTTCCCATACCTCGCCCCATCAGACTATCATTTGTTTAGAGCCCTGAAACAGCATTTGCGGGGTAAACAATTTAATGATTTCTCTGACGCAGAGGCGGAGTTGAACAACTTTTTCGAGGCACAGCCATCAGAGTTCTGGGCAAAAGGCATCCAAACTTTGTCGGATCGTTGGCAAGAAGTCTTAGATACTAATTACATCATTGACTAAACTTTTTTTATTGTAATAATAATAAAAAAGTAAAAACTTAAACCAAGTGTCTCATTACTTTTGTGCCAACCCGATATATCCCCCCCTCGAGTTTCATTTTCGCGATAAAAATATTTTTTTGCTAAAATAAAAATAAATATTTATGTTTTAGATTGGGTGATCTGTAAACAAAGATGGACTAACATAAGAGACCAATACAAAAAGAGTATAAAAAGTCAAAAAACTGTCACTGGTCAAGCTGCGAAGAAGATAAAAGTGTACAAGTTTTTTGACCAACTTCGATTTCTCACGAGCGTTCACGAAGATAGAGTTTCTATAAGCAATTTTGCAGAATACCGTGGAACGATGCCTTCTCCACCATCCGACATTTATTCCAATATGTTGAATAACGATTCGATTGACATAAATCAGCAGTCAAATTCGCTGGTCCACAAAGATGTTGTACGCAGTCAATCTCCTGAGTCATCTGCAATGTCATCATCTGCATCTTTGGCTACAAATAAACAAGATGAGCGTCCATCAGACCTGCCGATACTGGAGCCTCAAACGCACCCCCGTCTAAAAAAAAAAAAAGATTTCTGCCCCTGGTTCTGAATCTGCTTCAGCTGCTCTAATGAAATATGTGCTGAATAAAAATAAAAATACAGAACAAGAGGAACAACATCCTATCGACGCATTTTTAAAAGGACTTGCACCTACTTTAAAATCATTTTCTCCGGAATTCCAACATTTGGCAAAAGGGCAGATTTTTAAAGTGATCCACGATTTAGAGCTTCAACATTTAACTGAAAATCTAACGTCTTCGTCATCTACACAAATTATTTTGTCTTCTCCTTCGCCTTCATCAGCACCATCAACGACTGTTATTTTAGCATCTTCGCCTTCTGAACAATCAACGTCGGAGTCAATACAATTATATTTCTCCCAGTACAATACAGCTAATGATTGAGATAATTTTAAGATATATTTTAATTTTACCTATCCTTACTTCCTTACTAATATTATAAATGGGAAAATGTGTTTGTCCTTTTTCACGTCGCAACGGAGCGTCGTTATGGTATGATTTAGGAGATAGTTGGGAGGCTGGAGAGTGATATAGGCTACTTTTTACTGCGAAAAAAAAGCTAGCAAAAGCTAAAAAGTAATAAAAATGTGTTTATTACCTTAAACATACAGCCAATTGTTCTCGGGTTGTTATAGCTGTTTTCATAACAGTGTCTTTCTTAAGTAAATAAGGGTTTAGCTTATTTTCCAGTAAAGCAAAACATTCTTTTGTCAAATGAAAATACATGTAAAATTGAGACTCATCATCCAAAAGTTCTTTGTAGAGAGTGTGGTATTCTCCTTCTTGTTCTCTATTCTGCCATGTAGGGTGTACAGAAAATCTTCTTTTCCTCTTGACGGCTGTAGCTTCTTCGTCATCTAAAGCAATAGCAATTAAAGCCAATTCTTCAAATGAAAAATCCATTTTTCCTTGTTCACAACACTAGCACGTTAGCTACGAGTTATTGTCACGGTGCGTATGCATTAACAAAAAATACTGCAAAATTCCCGTCCCGTCCCGTCCCGTCCCTTTCCGTCCCGTCCCGTTCCGTCCCGTCCAGGAAATAAACACGTCCCGTATACAGCGACCTTTACTTACGCTTCACAGCACCCTGTAATATTACCTGAACACTCTTATCATAACGGTATTAATTATAAGAGACTATCACATAAAGCTTTTACATGCAAGTCAAAAATTAGTCTTGTGCTCAATAAAACAAAGATTTTGGATTGTTGATGGAGTGCGTACAGTAAAAAAGGTAATACACAAATGTATAATCTTTCACAGGTTGAAAGCCGCTGCATCGACTCAACTGATGGGCTCCTTGCCGCCTGCGAGAGTCAACGCTTGCCGCCTGTTCAAAAAGGTCGGAGTAGACTTCGCTGGGCCGATACCGGTAAAAAACAGCCGCATAAGAAAACCTGTCATAGGAAAAGGTTACATTGTCATATTTGTATGCTTCGTTACAAAAGCAATCCACCTTGAACTTGTTTCTGATCTGACAACTGAATCATTCCTGGCTGCTTTAAGCGCTTTATTACCAGACGAAACCTGCTCAGCGATGTCTATTGCGACAACGGCTCGACAATCAAACGGGCAAGGAACAAATTAGATGAGTACTACAAATTATATAACTCAAAGCAGCTTCAAAACGATGTACAATTATATGCCGTACAAAAGGGTATCGATTTTCACTTTATACCTAGCTATAGCCTAATATTTGGAGGCTTGTGGGAAAGTGGTGTGAAAAGCGTCAAGCACCACATAAAGCGTGTCATTTGTAAGGCGCTACTCACATATGAACAGCTGAATACAGTTTTGGTCGAAATAGGAGTGCTTAACTCGTGCCCCCTTTCATCAGTTACTGCAGATCCCAACGATGTTTCGTACATCTCACCCGGTCATTTCCTCGCTGGTGAGCCTTTAAATACTTATCCAGAACGTGACATTAGTGATGAATCTATTAGTTTACTTAAACTTTGGAAAATAACGGTGAACATGAAGCAATCCTTTTGGAAATACTGGAGTAAACATTATTTAAATCTCCTACAAAATAGGCCTAAATGGCGCAAAGAAATGCCCAATCTTAAAGTTGGTAGTTTGGTAATCTTGTACAGGGAGAGTGTGGCTCCACTAGACTGGCCTATGGCCCGCGTAACTAATATTTTTCCTGTTAAGACAATAAGGTCCGTGCTGTAGAAGTTCGCACTGCTAATGGTCATATTCATACGAGATTAGTTACAAAAATATGCGTGTTTCCTATAGATGAATAAATACACTTATATAATTATTGTAAGTCGTAATTATAAGTTTCTTTTGTTTTATTATATGTGTAAAACAACCTATATTTAAAAATTATTACTTAGTTTATCTTACCTTGCCTTTATTTTCAGAAACAAATATTAAAACAATTTTGATTAGGAGTAATTAAATAGAAGGTATATCTTAGTGTTAAATTGATTCTCATTGTATTAATTGTATAAAAGTAACAGCAAAAATGTATTATTATCATTGAGAAGCCCCCAACTTATGTTGGCAACATAAAATTTAATAGTGAGATTTGTATTTCTTGGGCTGGCAACTCTCGCTCTCTTTTCATGGTCCGGCCATTACGTGTACATGTAAAATAATTGATTAAACATTATCTATAATATATAAAGCTTAATTATTTACTATATAAATGTGTTTATTGGAACTCAGCGCTTCAACAGTCACCTAAACAATGTATTCGAAACAGGTAAATATTAACTTGCCCCCTTTTCTGTAACTCTGGCAACTTCTGAGGACAAGCAAAATAAATTGTTCACAGATCTCTAAAATATCACAATAGAGTATAGTATTCTATTACTCATTTTTATAAATCACTGATCGTTATTCCATTGCTATATATTTTTTTAATTTAAATGAAATCGGTTTCATGAGATATAAAATTAATTTTCAAAATGCAGCTCAGTGGAGTTTGCCAATATTAACATTTCAAAATTAAAGTTTAGTTAAAGATCTAATGCTACTCTCGTATCAGAATCAGTGAAATTATCACAAATATATAATAAAAAAGATACAACAAGTAATGATGGATTTTATGTATTGATTACTATTCAATTTAACCATCGTATCAATTGCAGGTTGACACTTGGGAGCAAAACAAAAAATACTGCACCATAATATTTGATGAAGTGGCATTGGAGGCAGGACTTCAATATAATAAACACAAAGATACAATTACTGGTTTGGTTGAAATGGGTGATAAAAAAAACCAATGACTTCGCAGATCATGTACTAGTATTTATGATAAGAGGAGCACTTTATAAGAGGCAGCAACCTGTAGCCTATTACTTTTGTAAAGGTGCTACATCTGGTGTGCAATTAAAAACCATTATCCAACAAATTATATCAGCTGTGAGTGATTCTGGACTTGCACCAGTAGCCCTTGTTAGTGAACAAGGCACAGTATTTCGTTCTGCTTTAAAATCACTACAAGAAGATACAAGAAGAGAGCAATTACAAGCTGGTTATCTAGTAATCGGTAGTTAAATTAACCTTATAATATCATCAAACTTTGTCTTCAAAAGCAACAAATGTTTGATTAAAATTAAAAAATATTAATAAAGTTAAGTCAACTTTTAGTATCCTAAAATTATTAATTAATAGTTGTTTAACTATATTTGATAAATTTTGCATTCAAGATTTTTAAGCTTTATTCATTAAAAATAGTTTTTTTTTTAGATGATGTCATTATAATAAAAGAACACACTCTGAGTGTCATATTTGACCCACCTCATCTCCTTAAAGGATTAAGAAATAACCTCTTAACCAAAAATATTAAATTAGATGGAAAAATTTCGTAATGGGATGATGGAAATATACAAGAGGGATTGTAACTAAAGATGTCACGAATATTCGGCCACTTTTTTTGCTATTCGGTATTCGGCCGAATAATACGTACTATTCGGCTGAATGCCGAATACCAAATCATGTAATAAGACACGTTATATTACTCAAAATTATGTATTTTTTTCAAATTAAAACACTTTTGTAATTAAAATTGATCAGTGGTAAGTTGTGATGGAAAAAAACAAGCTTTTAAGCATTTTTTGGTAGCAAACGATTACGCTTTTCATCGTAAATGTTACCAGCTTCAGAAAATAACCTCTCACTATACACGCTGCTTCCAGGAGAAGAAAGATAAACTTTAGCAAATTTCGAAAGGTTTGGGTATTGTTTTTCGTTTGCTAACCACCACTTGTAAGGATCGGCCTTCCGATCTAGGCGAGCTGTTTTCAAATAAAAATCCAACTCGTTTGCCACAGCATTCTTCTTCACGTTCTCCTCATCATTAGCATTTTGCATATTACCTGTAGCGACTTCCTTAAAGCAGTTCCAGAAACTGTCATGTATTTCAATAGTTCTATCATTTTCATTCAAATTTCTTTTCTTACGAAGTGGAGAAGAATCGTCATCGGTACTATTAGATTAATCACAACTTATTTTCAGAGCTTCTAGAAGAATTTTTTGTCTTGCTCTTTCTGCGTGAACCAATCCTAGGAAACTCGTTTTGAAGCGAGGTTCCAGAAAAGTAGCAACCAGATATTTGTTTTTATCATCGAAGCTAAATCGCCTTTCAAGCTCGGCTTGCAGTGAAGATCTCATTGTTACTAAATTTGGCACTTTCTCAGCTGTCTCTGCTTTTCCCAGATATTTTAATAAAGTTACTGCATGCAAGTGATTCCACACTTCAGAGATGCAAGAGATACCTGAGCTGATTATTATTGTAATCTCTTCGAATGGTTTGAGTAGTTTGATACATTGTTCCAATAGTTCCCATTGAGCATGCGTCAGATTTATTAAAGTTTCATGATCTGTTATGTACAAGGAGACAGCTCGCTTTTGTTCTAATAATCGCTCCATTAAATAATACGTAGAATTCCAGCGTGTTCTCACATCTTGTACTAGTTGGTGGTTTGGCAAGTTAAGTTCTTGTTGAATGGATTTAAGTTTCTGCTATGCTAAGCCAGAATGATTAAAATGGGTAACAATTCGTCTCGCAGCAGCTATCATCTGTAGTACTTCTGGTTGAAATTTTAGCGACTCCTCTATAGCTCGTTGCAGTGAATGAATAAAGCACCTGCCTGAATCATATCCTGCCTCTCGCACACCTTTTATCATATTCTAGTCACTATCATGGACAAGTAAATGGATCTTGGATTGAGGAATATTCCATCTTTCTGTAATAGCATTGAGCTCTTTTGCAATATTGATACCAGAATGTGAGCCGGGAAATGATTTCATAGCTAAAACGCCATGTTCCAGAATGAACTCTGGAGATATCCAGTGCGCAGTGAAGCTCAGAAAGCTCTCGTTATTGTGCTGGCATGTCCATATATCAGATGTCACTGATAATGCTGCTGCCTGTGAAACACTGGCTTCTATTTTAGCACAAATTCTGTTGTATATACCGGGAACAATTTTCTCGGTCATGTAAGTGCGACCAGGTACTTTATGATGGGGCAAAGCATTTGCCATAAGCCTCTGGAATCCAACTCGTTCGACAAGTGACAATGGTTCATTGTCTAAAGCAATCATTTCGCCAATCAAGTAATGATATTTTATTGAGTCCGGATCATTAATGTCCCAGAGCAATTTCCTTTCTGATGTTTCCTTCAGGGTAAGCTGCCGTTCTTTTGATCTGGACGTTCCAGGTACTGCTGGCATTTTGGAATCGGTAGAAGTAGAAGTATCGCCCGTGTTGCTGCCACTTGTCGATGGAACATTAATTAAAACAGCGTATTGGTCAGCATGTTTGGTTTTAAGATGGTTTTTTAAAGAGGTTGTAGCTTGGCCTCCAGACTCACGCCGAGAAGCCCCGAGAACACCCGAGAAGCGTGAATGGAAGTAGCATCTCGCCTTCTCGTTCTCGCGCTCGCGTGTTCTCCGTTCATTGTCGGTAAAATTGCCCGAGACAAAGGGTTTCTCGGGCGTGAAAAGAGAACAGTACTACATGCTCGTTTTGTCTCATTGCCTAGTAATAAGTAGCGGGGATAGGACGTGGCAACCAAAATGTGGAATAACGAACTGGAACTAAAATTCATTGAATATTTTCAATCCGAGCCCATTTTATGGGATGCAAAACACCGGCATTATAAGGACAAAAGTTTAAATCACGATGCCTGGAACCGACTCGCAGAGTTAATGAAAATAGAAGTACCTGAACTAAAAAAGAAAAAAGATTCTCTGTTTGCGAGTTACAGGAAATATAGAAAAATGGTGAATGACTCCTCCAAATCGGGTGCTGGCGAAAACGAAATATACAAACCTATATGGTTTGCATATGATGCTATAGATTCCTTTCTTAACCAAGGACTAACTCCGAAGAAAACAATAAACACAAAGTTGAATGTAAGTATGATTTATTTAGTTTAAATTTAAATACCGACTTTATGGACGTAGACTGAAAAAATATTTTTTGAACTCTTCTCGTACTTGTCTAGCATTAGTAACTGATCTGCGTGCTATCTGGGGCAAGTTCTGAATAGCATTCGTGCTTGTTATTTCTGATCGCCACGAACCACGATGAATCATATTGCCATTTCTATCATAAACATCAATAGTGCCTGGTGGACAATATATCCGTGTTGACATATTACTTTTTTTTAAATAATTATGCAGTAGTATACAAGACATTGTAACATTTGAAGCTTTTTCAGGAGGCAGCTCGATTGGCGATTTGAATATTCGAAACTTTGCTGATAATATTCCAAATGTATTCTCCACAATCACACGTGCACTTGACAATTTTTTATTGAATATGCGTTCAGGGCCGTCTCTGTCATGGTTTCCAGGATAAGGTTTCATGATGTTCATACCAAGTGCAAAAGCGCCATCACCTAAAAATACGTATGGTACAGCAACATTTGAATTTGGCAGTGGATGAGGTGATGGTAAATTAAGAGAGTTGTTACAAATCTTCTCCCATAACACAGTATTTCTAAAAATTCCACCGTCACTTATTCTTCCTTGCCCTCCGATATCAGCAAAAATAAATTCATATTTACTGTTTACTAATGCCATAAGCACAATACTAAAAGTTTTTTTGTAGTTGAAGTATTCTGAACCTGAATTGGCAGGACATATTAAAACTACACTGGACCGCAAAGAAAACGGGTCGGTTAGAAAATCTTCAATAACTTGAAAACTACCTCACCTAGCTTTATGAAATAAAAACTCAATTAAAGAATATTTAATGTTATTTAACATAGTATATAAAACCTTTTTATTTACTTTAGATAATTGTGTAAGAAAACTGGCAATGAAGATAATGGTTGTTTTTCAATTTAGTTCTAAAAAAATCAAAGCATTTGTTTCGCATTTGTTTTAGTTTTGACATAAAAACTACAATAAATATCGTGTGTTTGTCATACAAAAATTGTATTCTGAAGTCATCATGTCGTTAACCCCCTGAAGAATGCACCAGGATCCTGACAATGCTTGAAGATGGGCGCAGTCAGCGCAATACAGCGAGAACTGTTGGTGTGAGTCTTTCCACAGTTCAGCGGGTACTCCAGCGTTTCCATGAAACTGGATCCAACCTAAGAAGACCAGGAACAGGCCGAACGAGGTGCACGACTGCGCGGGAGGATCGCTATATGGTGTCAACAATTTTGAGAAATCGATTTCTTACGGCCGTTGAGGTAAAAAATCACCATTTACGAGCTGGAGGAAACTATCTGAGTACAGATACAGTAAGGCGACGTCTGGCTGAAGCAAATTTGAGACCCATTAAGGCCTGCAAATGGCCCAAAATTAGAAAGACACCACTTAAACTCAAGGCTGAGTTATAGCAGAGAACACGAAACTTGGACTCTGGATGACTGGTCAAGAGTTATGTTTTCAGACGAGTCTAGATTCTGTTTATACAAGCACGATGGGAGGAAAAGAGTGTACCGAAGACCGGGAGAGCGCTATAACCAAGCTTGTATAGTAGAAAAAGTACCATATGGCGGTGGCTCTATACACGTGTGGGCTGGGATTTCTTCCGAAAGCCGTACTGAGCTAGTAGTGATAGAAAATGGCAGTTTAACAGCAGAACGATATGTGAATGAAATTCTTAATGACTATGTTGGTCCATTTTTAGTAGATATGGGCGAAAATGCTGTTTTTATGCAAGACAACGCCCGCCCGCATACAGCTCAGATAGTGTTCGACTATTTTCACGAAGTAGGTATCACATACATGGAGTGGCCAGCACGAAGCCCCGACTTAAACCCCATCGAACATGCATGGGACGAACTGGGACGACGTGTACGTCAACGGAATCCGCCGCCAATCACGCTGCGTGAATTGAAAGGAGCTTTTTGAAGGTATGCCGAATCGCATAGCCGCAGTTTTGCAAGCTCGTGGAGGCAACACGAAATACTAACATGCGTAAAAACGTCACATCTTTATACAATTCATATTTACGAAAATGTCAGAAAAACTACCTTTTTCATTCGTTTGACATTTATTGAAAATAGACAACTTTTAATTTGTATTTTTTTATATTCAATAAATTACAATTAAATAATCTTTAATTTAGTTTTTATTTCATAAAAATAAGTTAAGTAGTTTTCAAGATATTGACGATTTTCTAACCGACCCGTTTTCTTTGCGGTCCAGTGTATATGTTTTCCATCTATGGCACCAACAGCCCTTGGAAATTTGGAGCTGAATCCATTTTCAATGTCCAACTACTCTTCTGCAGATGATGGAATCTAAAAAAAAGAAATTACATAATTAATTTTAATGATACTTTTCAGGCAGAGGAGCCTAGCACAAGCACTGAGGATAGGGAAGCCACACAAACTATCAATGAAACAAGGACACAACAGACGAGTCGTTCTCGAGTGATTCAGTCAGAGGTGAAAGAAGCCGGAAAAGTTTTAAATGAAGCTTTAAGTACCTTTCAGGAAAACATTAAAAAACGAGAATCTCAGATCCTTCCAGATGATTGTGAAGTCTATGGAATTATGTTAGCAAAAAAATTGCGCACATTCTCCGAAATTGAGAAATTAGAAATAATGTATGAGATAGATGGCATAATTATTAATCACCGCCGTGCAAAGCAATCACCCCAATTTTCACGGAATACTTTTACACCATCTCCTTCTACAATAGGTAGACCATCATCATCGATGTCTAGCTATTCTGAACCATTACCATGTGTTTATCAACAGAACACGCGCATGGCATATTCTGAACCACAAATTCACATTCTAGATAGACAAAATATACGCCAGGTGCATTCTGAACCACCACAAATTCATATCCCGGAAGAACAAAATACAGGCCAGTTTTATGAACTACCACCAGTTCAAATATCAGAAGGGCAAAATACACAAATCGGAGATGATACAAGAGTGCGCATACTTCGAAATGAATTGGTCTCTGATGTTATTTCTGAAGCTTACAATAATGCTTAGTTCTTTTTAATGCTTAATTTTTTATTTCCTTTATAATGTTGAATTCCTTAATAATACTTAATAACTTAACCCTTAACATAACCTATGTAACAAATAAATTGTGTCACTGGAACTTACCTTTATTTCTGCCTTCAAAAGATTATTTAGGGCTGCACATACTTCAGGGATAATTGTTGAAATTAATCGAGGTGATACTTTAAATAAAAAATGAAGACTTTGGAAACTATCTCCTGTGGCTAAGTACCTCAATATTATTGCAAAACGCGTACGCGTTCTCGAAGCTGGGTATCTTGTTTGATAATCAGTGGTGTTATCTTGTTAAGCAAATTTTCAAAATCAATTGTTGACATCCTGGTAAACTTATTAAATTCTCCGCTTGGTTCAGCAACTAGTTCATCCAACTGTTTTTGCAAGCTGAAACTAAAGAGTACGTAGTTTAGTTAGTAATGTTTTTGTCGATAAATTATGAACGCCTAAATAAAATTAAAGAAATAGGAAATTACAAACCTGGTCCTGTTTCGATGAATTTGTGTTGCCCACCATCGTCTGGCCTTCCTTCTTTTTTTAATTTTATTTTTAGATATAGCTATTACAAAGTTTGCCATGGCACACAGTGTCAAGCTTGCTGCAATTTCAATGTCGTCCATACTGAAATGACACGAGAACACAAATGAGAACATTGTGGGTGTGGATACGTTGCTTGTTCTCGCGAGAAATCTCTCCAAGACTTCTCGCCGAGACTTCTCGGCGTGAGTCTGGAGGCCACTTTAAGACATAACCAGTTTACCACCTACCTACGTAAACGTATTAAGTGAATAAAACTATTTAAAACTATTAACTTAAGGTTTAACTTACTTGCTTTCTTTCCTTCTCCGCCTCTTGAGATCTTGATACTACATAGCAAACACTAGGCAAGTTTATTATTTTCACTACAAATCTCATAATATTCCCATATGGGCGATTTTTTATTAACTGGTGTCATTTTATAAGCCTTTTAACGAACAAACAATTGAAAACGAATTAAGGAACAAATTTCTTCACAAAATAGTAATGAAGTTTAGTTTTATGTATTATTTATATGCTGACAAAGCGTTCTGTGACGTGATTTTCTCGCAATTGAAACAAATACTCGCCCCGCGCCGTGTTGTGTTTGCTTGCACCCGGCCCCGCGCGCGCACCGTCGTCGCCTGACGCGCCAACGCCACAAAGAAAACACGTTGCCACTTGTCTTAATCCAGCTAACGCGCCCCCGACAAGTATGTATTTCGTGCCGAATATTCGGCGCTTCGGCCGACAGCGTTGCCGAATATTCGATATTCGGCCAATTCACTATTCGTGGCATCTCTAATTGTAACCATGCTCAAATGAGACTACTGCCAAAACTAAATGATGAACATGTTATACCTGAAAAAATCAAAAAGATGAAGGTGATTTATGAATTCATTTTAAGACCTATATTGTTTATATAAATTTACTATATAATCTTTTTAGGTCAAAAACTGTGGACGCGTGTTTTGCAAGTCGGTAGTAGCAACATTGACTTATACTTCGGAATTTGGAAAAAAAAGCAAATTTCCTTTGTCTATAAATCGAAAACAAATAAGACTTACTTGTACTTATTTTGTTTTAGCCCAATATGCTGATGGCACTGAAGTTAGTGCAACATTGATACAGCTGAGATTGTATACTTCTTTGTCGATTGCTAAATTTAGCAAATCGTCGAAAGGGAAACCTTTACGGAAAGCTATGACTGCAAATAGTTCACACCATGAGATTTGGAAAGGGGCAATTGAAAAGTTATAAAAAAAAATTATAGATACCAATGGTAGACTGTTGTACCCTCACTAAAAAATTGGATTACAACTATTGAAAGTTATCAATGGGTGTGGCAATTATTAAAAAGTAAAAATACTAAAGTTATGCGGTCAAGATATTTTAATTCTGACCCAAAAGAAAATTTTTTCGGTCAGGGTCACGGCCTATAATTTTAGAAACAATGATCCAGATTGCCACACTTTCAGATGCTCATATAAATCACTGTTAATCACAAGATTTATAAAATTCCACTCGGGCTCTTTTGATTGTGAGGACGATGCAGGGGATCAGCTGTTAATAATTAAATCATTATTTCAAACAAATGTCCCTTGTGAAGATGAAATTGACAAACCAGAGCCAGAAAATCAGAGCAGACAAGAAAACTTGACCCAGAAAATATTTTACTAAGCATAAAACAAGAAGTAGCTCGGTGGCGTACTGGATAAGCGCCGCGGCCAGCGATCGTAGTCGTAAAGCAACTTTCGCAAGGGTCGGTCACGAGATGGGTGACCAAAAAATTATTATCTTGAGCTACTCCGTGCTTTGGAAGGCACGTTAAGCCGTTGGTCCCGGCTGCATTTGCAGTCGTTAATACCCTCCAATCCGCATTGGGCCAGCGTGGAGGGTCATGGCCCATCCTCCTTAACCATCCATAAGAAAGGCCTGAGCCGCTGCAGCGGGGACGTAAAAGGGCTGGTGATGATGATGAAAACAAGAAAGATTGAATGTTCATTCAAGGGCATACACTGTGGGGAGGGTATTAGAGTACGTTGGTACAGAGGAAGAGAATGACCTTTATTGCACGTTTATCTGGCACTGACTATACTTTTATGAAAATTAAATGAAAAAAACATTGAACACCATCCACCATTACACATAGATTACTGTCGGGTTATAGTTATATTATTGACGGGTTTGTTCTACTCCACACAATGAAAAATATGCTTAAAACCTTTGGAAATAGTTCAAAGAAATTGTAACAAATGGTAACACAAATGCAAGAATCAAAGATTTTGAGAGATCACTACGATACGAATACACACAACTTGATTTTACCATAACCGGTCCTGATCAAGTTCGACCTACTTGTTGCCGACAGCCGTACCAGGTTTTGATATATTATTACTGGCCCCTTTAAGGAGGCTTTTATACTTATTTTTTTATCTTTTGACTTAATTTCTGGTATCTTGTGTTTTTGTACGTTGTTCATTAATAAATCTTTTTCTTTGCTAAAAGTTAACTTATTAAAATTTTATACAGTCCATTGTGCTTGCTGTCGATTATAGAATTGATTTTGCAAAAGAATTAAAAAAAATAAGCTTTAAAGAGGCACTTGTCGACTTTTTTATTCTGCACTGAGCGACTAAGCAGATGATACCATTTATTAGCAGTAAACAGATTAAAATTAATTTCAGGTAATGCCATTATTTTATTGTCAATAATGATAAGATTGAGACACATAATAATATAATAATAATAAAGGCTTTTTATTTCCACATCACAGTATTTTACAATGTCAAATGTTTTTTATAGTCGTATTAGTAAAATTAGCTTCTTATTTAATCTAATGTTATCTCTCATCTCATCTGACATCATACTTCTATACAAAAAAGGCCATCCTCTAACTAACTACAGACCCATAAGCTTACTGGCTTGTTTATATAAGCTCTTTTCATCAATAATCCTCAAGAGAATAGCAACAAAAATTGACGAAGCACAACCAATAGAACAGGCAGGATTTAGATCAGGCTTTAGTACAACAGACCATCTTCATTCACTCGAACAAATAATGGAGAAATATAAAGAGTTTAGGAGACCCTATACACAGCGTATATAGATTATAGCAAGGCATTTGACTGTATAAGTCACAATTCTATCTGGAACATATTGTCATCATTGAACATTAACAGAAAATAAAAACATCATTAAATATACATACAACAACGCTACGAGTAGGGTGAAACCATAGAAGAAATAAAAATCGAAAGAGGAGTAAGACAAGGTGACCCTCTATCACCTAAGCTGTTTATTGCTGTATGTATTCCAAAGGCTAGACTGGCAAAGCAAGGGACTGAATATAGGTGGTGTTTGCCTTAGCCACTTGAGATTAGCAGATGACATCGTTGTACTAGCTGAAAAATCTAGAGAACTTAAAACCATGTTACAATCGCTGGATCAGGAAAGTGCAAGAGTTGGACTAGAAATGAATGCTTCTAAAACGAAAATAATCACAAATAGCCAGAAAAATCCTATAAGTATAAACTGTAACGAAATACAATACGTGGACAATTACATATATCTGGGCAACAGAAAAAGAAGAATCTACATCGAATGATAAAATAAAATTGTTTTGTAAAAACCTTGGTATCGGGTGTTATGTTGCTAGAGGTATCTACTGACCCGGTCATGACGGGAGATGTATACATAGAGGGAGGTCTACGACTCAAATCTATCACATCAGGCTTACTTTCTGTAGTATCGATAAAGCTGTGTAAGTTGAGCGACACCTCTGATGCTGAAGAGGACGCGCGGCTTCACCACACTGCTGCATCTCGTCATCAGTGCTCTACATGTAAGGAGATTTCTGTATTTAACAAATGTATGGCCGCAGATCATATATATCCCTTTATGCAAGAAAAGTGAAATCTTGTTTATAGGAATGAATAATAAGTATTGCTACGTTTCTGATCGTGCCGATAAGTAAAAAGTCATAAGCATGGAAACCTCGAAAGGATGGCGTAACAGTTGAAAAATAACATACCGTAACCGTCTCATGCGAAACTTCTGCAATAAAATTAATAGTTTAACGACCGATACGAAATATCCGATTAGCCATTTAAAAATAATTACAAATAATAAAGTAATGAATAAATTTTCAGAAATTTTCTGTTTATTCGAAGATTATATTACAAACACATCATGCTTTTGGTAATAATTTAAATAAATATTCGATGCAAACAACATTTCTGCCAAAAAGTGGGTACTACAGACGATCTCGCAAAATCAAAAGATTTTTTTCAAGTTCGTTATGGCAAAGAATCTGCCTTCTAAGACAAAATCTTGCAAGCTATGCCTTAAGAATGATCCACACAATAGTTGAGCGCTACCACAGCATTTTAGAAAAATTCGTCGGAGTGAAACGCATCAACTATTCTCTGAACCACTCATATGTGACAAGGTTTAGA